GTGTGTGTGTGTGTGTTTACCTCTGAGCTTAGGGGTGTGCGATGACTGCCTTCTCCTCCCTGCCCAGGGTTGGCTGTGGCATCATCTTACACCCCATCCCCCACCCGTCACACACACACAGTAAGACCCCAGGGGGACACGAAGGGCCGGGACTTAGGATAACAAGAAATCGGAGGGGTTGGCTGCCTGGTACCTTAGGTGATGCTTAGAGACCTGAATTAGCCCGCCGCCGCCACCACAGAATGTCCACCGTGGACAGCCTACGCTCTGGTGTCAGGCAGGGCTCTGGCTCAGGACACTGCCTGTATCTAATGGCAGAACCTCGAAAGCCTGGCAGATCGGTGAAAATCACCCGCTCGGTAGGAAAGCAGGCTCTCTGACCCACGCCAGAGCCGAGAGGCTCCGAGAAATCTGCGTTTGTAGCACCTCTTCCGGGGATGCTTCCCTCGGGCTTGCTGCAGAAACGCTGGCCGGTGCCCGTGGAGACCAGCCCCGGGCACGGGGGTCTGGGAATAATCCCGCAGGTCTGCTGCAGGATCTCAGGTTCTTTCTTAGCTGCACTGGCCACTCCAAGAAAAGACATGTATTCTTACAAAGAGAGGAGGGCTGTTTCATTTTCAAAAAGGCTTGGGTTTCAGCGTGCGCTCTTAAAGAAGCGAGGTGCATTCCGTTGGAGACAGAGCTGGGACGGCAGAGCCCAGGCCCGCTTTGTGGGCTCGGTGGCTGCGGGGTGGGCACCCCCCAGGCCCTCAGGGAGCCTCTGTCAACCCGGATTGTCCACCTGGGAAGCGGGGAGAAGCACACGGGCCGTGGATGTTGGGAAGAGGGGGAAGCATGTCCCTATAGCAAGAGCTCTCTGTGCACAAGGGCACGCCGGGCCCGTGCGTCACGGCATTTCCTCAGAAAGGTTACTGGCTATTACATTCCTTTTAAGAATCCCTTTGGAGCCCTAACCGGTTTGGCTCAGCGGATAGGGCTTCGGCCTGCAGACTGAAGGGTCCCGAGTTCGATTCTGGTCAAGGGCATGTACCGTGATCGCGGGCACATCCCTAGTGGGACTGTGCAAGAGGCAGCTGATCGATGTGTCTAACTCTCTATCCTTCTCCCTTCCTCTCTATAAAAAGCCAATAAAACATTAAAAGAATAAAAAATAAAAAAAAGATCCCTTTGCAAAGGTACATGGTTGATGGAACAAGGTATAGTATTTTGACTACCCGTTCCTTGCTGCAGTTATGCAGTTATTTTAACCTTTTAAATTGGTTTTTTAGAGAAAGAGAGAGAGAAACAGAGAGGGGGCTAGTGAGAGAGAGAGAAAGAGAGAGACATGGATGTGAGAGAGAAAATGTGATGGGCTGCCTCTGCATGCCCCCTACACAGGGATCGAGCCTGTAACACGGGCACGTGCCGTGACTGGGAACCGAACAGCAACCTTTCGGGGCGCAGGAAGGCGCCCAACCCACTGAGCCAGGCGGGCCAGGGTGGCAGTTATTTTTTGCAAACACCCAGCCTCCTTTCCTCCTCTTACATGTTAGAGATTTGCGTGTCTGAGCAGGAGATGGTGTGGCTAACAGTGAATGTATAAATGGGGAAACTCAGAGAGGTGGCTGGAGCTGGCCCTGTGACTGCTGGCTTTCCAGCGAACCCCCACGGCAGAGCGAGGGCAGCCAGGCGTGCTGTTGCTCCCTCGGTGGCAGTGACCTCTACAATGCCACCCGGAGGGGAGGTGGCTGGCGTGCGTGTGGAGTTTTGTCAGAGGTACTTACTGTCAGCGGTTATTGGGAAGCAGGGACGGGGTCTCTGAGACGATTTTTCTCATGTCCCTGCACTCCATGGCCAACAGTGTGAGCGGGCCTCGCCTCCCGTCTCCCATCTGTGCTCTGTGGGGGTGCCTTCGGAGGTGGGGGTGCACCTCTCCCTTCCCAGACAGCACTCTCCCGATGGCTGTTCGGGGAACATGTTTGAAAGGGGATGAAGTGTGACTGTAAAATGTAACTGAGTTTCTCTTCACCGGCTCTGCTACAGCGGAAGGATGCTTTCCTGCAGATATAGAAGGTGGGGGACTAGAGCCGCGGCCGGCAAACCGCGGCTCTCGAGCCACAGGCGGCTCTTTGGCCCCTTGGGTGTGGCTCTTCCACAAAATGCCACGGCCTGGGCGAGTCCATGCTTAAGAAGTGGCGTTAGAAGAAGTTTACGTTTAAAAAACGTGGCTCTCCGAAGAAAATGTCAATCGTTGTCGTGTTGATATTTGGCTCTGTGGACTAATGAGTTTGCTGATGACTCAGCTAGAGTGAAGCCATGGTTTTAGAGCTGTGTTTCTGTAGAGGACAGGTCGGGGTCGGGGGGGGGGGGGGGGGGGGGTGGGGGGGGTGGTTGGGGAGTGTCAGGTGGGAGCAGAGGCCTCGGGGAGACCCAGGCAGGAAGGCCCAGGCGGGTAGAGCTCACCCTCTTTGTGACGATAGAGGCGCTCTTTCCTGTGCTACTCAGACTGGCTGTGGGCGCTTGAAATGCAGCCATGTGACTGCATGCTGGGCTTTGTTTACAGTGGCTCGTGGCTGCTCTTTGGACAGCACAGGGCCGAGGGGGTCTGGAGAGGGACACGCACAGACCTTGGCCCTGCGGGAGGCGGGTGGCACCTTCCTCCTCGGCCCTCCTCACTCCCTGCCTCCCTGCTCTAGGCCCCCGGCTGGCCCTCGTCTCTGGGGCAACAGTCACACCTGTGGTTTGACCCTCCCAGGGCTGGGCCAGGCAACCCGGGCGCCCACGCCCTGTCCCTGCCTCTCCTTGGCACAGAGTCCCCTGTTTTCTCACAACTTAGGGGTCACGTTCGGCTCTGGCTTTCAGACAAACTGCTCTGTCACAGTGGACGGATGCTCTTTGGCCAATCCCTGCCCTTAACCTTGAAGTGAATGCCGTTATAGATGAGGTTTGAGACTTCCCGCACACCCCACAGAGAGGGAGAGAGAGGAGGGGAGGAGGGGAGATTCAGGTGGTGGAGGGATGGATAGCCTGAAAAATGATGAAACCTAGGGAAATGGGGTGGCGTGAAGAGTCTAGGATGGTCTTGTGTTCAAAATGCCACATTCCTAGCCCTGGCCGGTTTGGTTCAGTGGATGGAGCGTCGGCTTGCGGACTCCAGGGTCCAAGTTTCGATTCCGTTCAAGGGCATGTACCTTGGTTGCAGACACATCCCCAGTAGGGAGTGTGTAGGAGGCAGCCGATCGATGTTTCTCTCTCATTGATGTTTCTAACTTTCTATTCCTCTCCCTTCCTCTCTGTAAAAAGTCAATAAAAAAAAATTAAAAATTAAATAAAACATTTTTTAAAATGCCACATCCCAAATGATTTTTTAATGTGATATATTTAATATATATTATGTCATAACATATAGAGACTCGGACACCATTTGTTAAGGGTAGCCTGGGTTTCAGCGAAAGGGTGAACATACCAACTTGGTTATGAGTCAAATCAGTTAACACTGTTTCCTAAGATACGAAACCAGCCTTTGTTTTCATTAACCTACAGCCCAGCCCAGCGTCCTGTGCATCTTATCGCCGGTCTGCTCCTCACCCAATGAGTAACGCAGGGCAAAACGCTCCCTCCTCCCTCCTTCCTCCCTCCCAGGGCTCCAGTCTCACTGTCGTTTGAATGGAATGAATGGGTCCAATTGGATCGCATTTATTGCGATGAAGAGAGATCATTTTCCCCTGAATGTGTATCTTTGTAAACACTGTGTCTGAAACCGATGCAGGTGTTTCCAAATGCGATGGCTGAGTTTCTACTAAAGCTCCCTTTCCCCCCCACAAAGAATGTATCCTCCGAGTCATAAAAGGTAGCAGCCGTTTTCGGGTTCTCTGGGTTTTCATCTTTAAATGAAATCTGGATGACTTTCTGGCTCTCTTCAGTGGCGGTCCCCGTTCACGCTGATGGCAGTGGCAAGGCCATTCCAATGGCAGGCGCTGCTAGTGGCCAGGGCGAGCTCCGGGCCCCATGGACGGGTGCGTGAACGAGACCCAGCCTCGGACCTTGTGCAGAGACTTCCTCAGGAGGACGGGGGTGCGTGGGCAAAGAGGCCGAGCCTGTGTCTCCGTGTGGCTGTCAGGAGCCGGGAGACCTGCCACCGTGCAGCCGGGAGGCGGCAGAAGCCCCGGAATCGCAGACGGTGCAGCGACGCTCAGAGACACGAGCGCCCAGGGCCACGTTGTGGTGGGTTTGATGGAGGGACCTGCCATCCTCCCTGTCCCCGACAGAGCCAGCGGTGCGGAGGCATCGGCCATGAGCAATGCGCCGACACGGCAGCTCCGTTTCCAGGCAGGGTTGCAAGCGGATAAGCTATTGATTTTTTTTGTGTGTGTGTGTGTGTGTGTTTTGTTTTGTTTTTCCTTATCCCGGCAATTAAAACGCCGGCGGAGGGTGAGATTTATAAGAGACACTTTAGGAAAGAGCACACGCAATCTATTAGGGCCGAAGAAAGACCGGGATGAATTAAGCTTAGCGAGGGCCGCGGTTCCTGCCATTTTCCTTCTGCTGGAATTCAGAACGATCGCTTCCTTCTCTGCTGGGCACTGAGTCAGAGTCAGGTTTACAGCTGCTTCTGAAGCAGCCCCGGGAAAGCCCTCCTCCGAGGGCGGCGGGCCGTCCCTGGCTGGCACCTCCCACCAGGCCCCACCTCTGTACAGGTGCACCCGCCCGCCCGCCCGCCCGCACCTGCCTGGTGGGTGTTGCCCTCACAGTTGCTATGAGACTTCCTGGAGGCTACTCTTGGTCCCTGTGTCTGGGGAGCGGGGAGGGGGGAGGGGGACAAGCCTCAAGGCCTGGAGGGCGGGCTCCGAGGTCCTCCCCTGCCCGCCTGCCTGCCTGCCTCCCCCCTGAAAACACGGCGCCTGGCAGGGCCGTCTGCCTGGGCTGGGCAGGGCGTTCTGGTTGCAGGCAGGTGCTTCGCCCCACCCTGCCTGGCCCCTCCTCCCCACTCCGGGGAGCCTCCCCCTTCCGGGTCTGTCCTGGGCGATGCGGGGCCAGCGGCCCTGTGCACACCCTCCAGGCCAGCCCAGCCGGGGCACGTCCCAGGCCCCGGCCAGGCCCCAGCGAGTGCCCCGGGGACCGGCCCGCGCCCCGATGGCTCCCCTGGGCGGGCAGCCAGGAGCCCCCTCCGCAACTGCCCCTTAGGGCGATGTGCTGGCTTCGGGGCAGCTTCGGCGATGTCCCTGAGAGACGAGGGAGGGGAAGAAGAATGTTTTGAGTCCGAGGACGGCCAGGATGAGGAGAGGAAGCAGGTCCCAGAGCAGCAGGACACCGTGGAGCTGGCGGAGGAGGGTAAATTCTCGCTCTGCACCGATGGGATGCGTGTGCTGCTCGCGTCCAGGTGGCCTGGCTGCTGCCCTGAGCTCACAGCCCCCTCTCCTTTCCTTACTGAGCTGTAACGTCAGGCACCACGAGCTCCTGTGGAAAGACGCTCCTGGGAAGCCACCATGGGAGACGCATTCCTTGGTCCCCCCCCCCCCCCCCCCCCGTCCCCTCAAAATCCCCGGCTCACCTGCCTCCTGGGAGGCCACCCAGGTCGCCCTTGTGTCACCTGAGATTTGTTTGGCTTATTTGGGGATCCATGTAAACGGAATCAAACCGTGTGTGTGATTTTATCAGGCTGCCGTGGCTTAGCCAAGGACTGCGAGGTTCATCCTTGTTGTTGCCAGTATCAGCGGTTACCTTTTCTGTTTCCCCCTTTGTGGCATTCCAATACTCTGTTTTAATTCTTTTCTTGGGACTGAACAGGTTTTAGTAAGTTAATGGGCAAGAGGCTAAGTCGTGATAAATAAAGCATGTTTTTGTGCTGGCATTATTTTAAAGTATTATTAATGACAAATTTGAGATAAGGATTTTTTAATTTTATTTTTAAAGTTTAGAAGTATTTCGGATGCAAAAGTCCAAGGCTGACACTGACATCACCACCAGGCTGTATTGGGGTGGTGTTCTGTGTTGGGGTGTTGTGTATTGGGGGGCTGTGCTGTATTGGGAGGCTATGCTGTATTGGGTGTTGTGTATTGGGTGTTGTTGTGTATTGGGGGGCTGAGCTGTATTGGGTGTTGTAGTGTATTGGGTGTTGTGTATTGGGTGTTGTTGTGTATTGGGTGTTGTGTATTGGGGGGCTGTGCTGTATTGGGTGTTGTATATTGGGGGGCTGTGCTGTATTGGGTGTTGTGTATTGGGGGGCTGTGCTGTATTGGGGTATTGTGTATTGGGGGGCTGTGCTGTATTGGGGTGTTGTTTTTGTCGAAGGGGAGGGTGTTAGTTAAATAGAGGTGTGCCCACGTGCTGGGTGTCAGTTCCTAACTGGGTTTGTGGGGCTTTGACCGCAGCTGGAGGAAGGGTCTGGGGGGAAACGGGACATTTAACAGCGACTGCGACTGCGTGGATGGTCTCTAGGTCTTGAGTAGGTGCGTTGGAATTCCCTTTCAGAACCCTGCAGGGCGGCCGCCTCTTTCCCTGTCTCCGCGTAGCTTTTACTTTTGAAATTAGATATTTATAATTGGCCACCTACAAAAGGTATGCATTTTGAAAATATCAGTGCTTCAGGACAGTTAAACGGGTGGAATTGGAAAAAGGGGGGGGGGGGGAGAACAGCCAGGAGCCAGCAAGGGCTGGCACCCCGACGGGCCTTGAAAGACACGGAGTCGGGGTGGGGGCGGGGGAGAAGGGAGGAGTGACAGACGGAGGGGACTGTGCATTTGCCGGGTTCCTGGAGGCACTGGAGGGAAAGGCGCCCATCTGCTCCCCTGAGCCAGGCCAGCCCCGCGCACGGACCTGCCGTGCCCCTCAGAGCCAGGCCGCCTCGCAGGCCGCCCGTGTACCCACATCACCTGAGAGCTTCTAGGAATGCAGACTCCTGGGCCCACCCGGACCCCTGCCTTCTAACAGGACCCTGAGCGGGTCCTTGTGTTCGTGAAAGCATGAGATGGTGCACAGATGCCTTAATAGATGCTAAGATGATTTTTAAAACACCAATCGTTGGACCTGCTGGTTCCACACTGAAGGCTTAGTGTTAACAATATTTCTAGGACAGTAACCTTAAAAAAAAAAAAAATAAGAAAGACACTGTAGTGCCAACCTGCTTAGCTCAGTGGTCGGCAAACTCATTCATCAACGAAGCCAAATATCAGCAGTACGACGATTGAAATGTCTTTTGAGAGCCAGGTTTTTTAAACTTAAACTTCTAGCTGAGACTGTTTGGCTCAATGGATAGAGTGTCGGCTTGGGGACTGAAAGGTCCCGGGTTTGATTCCGGTCAAGGGCATGTACCTTGGTTGCGGGCATATCCCCGGTGGGGGGTGTGCAAGAGGCAGCTGGTCGATGACTCTCTCATCGATGTTTCTAGCTCTCTATCTCTCTCCCTTCCTCTCTGTACAAAATCAATAAAATATATAAAATAAATAAATAAATAAATAAATAAACTTAAACTTCTAACGCCACTTCAAAATAGACTCTCCCAGGCTGTGGCATTTTGTGGAAGAGCCACACCCAAGGGGCCAAAGAGCCGCATATGGCTCTCGAGCCGCAGTTTGCCGACCACGGGCTTAGCTCTCTTGGTAAAATGAAATTCGCCAGGCTTGCTCCTGGCCGGGGGGAAGTCTGTGGCGTGGCCCGGGAAGGTGGAGGTTTGGGTGGGAAAGGTCGGTTTCTGGGGCCAGTGTTCCTGAGCAACCCGTTTTTCTCCGGCACCGTCACCCCCCCACCCCTTTGTTCAGTCCCATGCGTGGGAGACGTGCTCTGTGAACAGGGGAAACGTGTGTGGGGTGTGGACACGCCGTGTTCTCAGGTGGCCTTCTACACGAACTGGTTTCAGAGAGATGCTCTTGGTTGAAATCCAAAGGGCCAGATTCGTATTTGGGTTGCTCTGATAGGGACGGATGCAGGCGACACCCGTCCTCTCCCCGCTCACTTTGTGGGGTGATGGGGGCACTTTTTCATGTCGCCCATGCCACCTTCATTCAGAACAGCCTTTGAGATCAAGCCCTTTGCGGTGGGGCAGGTTGTCCCTGTCCAGAGTCCCAGGGCTGTGGGCACAGAGCGGGCCCTCACCCTGCCTCCCGCCACACCCGGGCCCTACGCACATGGAGTCCCTGTCCTCCCCATAGCGCAGCCTCCGGGGAGAGAGACGATCCCGCTCCGTGTCTTCTCCGAAGACCAGCAGGTGCAGGACCGGAGTTGGCCCCAGGCAGGGTCACGGCGCCCAGGAGGCTCTGCCGAGGCTCCAGCCGGGCTGCTGGGAGGGAAGCTGCAGTCACACCCCTGGGCCCAGCCCCACCCCTGGCGCCAGTGAAACCCTGGCGGAGGGTCAGGTGTGGCCCTCTGTGCCTGTGGTTTGCCCCGGGGCAGATCCCCGTGGCTTTCTTAAGGAGACGCTTAGAGCAGCAGCTTGGTGATTTTTCCTCCCCGGGGCCCTTCTGAGGCTGCTGCTCAGTGGCAAGAGCAGTCCCTCCGTTCCTGGCAGGACTGGGGACGAGCCCGCAGATGGTCTGCTTCCCAAGGTTTAGGTTTTCTGAGTGCGCTGGGTGCAGGAGAGAGAGGACCCGGGCCTTCGAGGTGGCGAGAGCAGGGGGCAGCATCGGCCCTTTGCACAAAGGGTAGCTCTCAGGTGGTGACCACTAGCCGCCTGACATCGTCCGGAGAAGCACGATGAACAAATGTCAGGTGGTGGTGGGAACCCAGAGCCCGAGGGCCCGCCTGGATCCGGTCCCACAAAGCTCTGTCCGCAGCTGCAGCCGCACCTGCTGGGCCGTCCACGCTCTTTGGGTTCCGAAGCCACGCACGAGAAGCTGCACAAACGGAGTCCACGCTCCTGTGTGGAGGCGGCCCCGGCCTCACCGGTGTGGCTGCCTGCGGGTGTGCCGTGTCCCGGAGATGACGCCTCCCGCCCTGTGGCTGTGTGGCCAGCAGCACATGCGGGTGCCAGGCAGGACTCTCCCCTCGGGTCACAGAGAGGAGGGAGCTGACCCCGCTTATCAGTTCAGCCCTCAGCACTATTCCAAAGGTCTCCCGGCTGATGGTGTTATCACCCGGGTCCAGCCTGGGGTTTCCGTTGTTAGTGTATCCATGGCAACCCCACGGAGGCTTCCGACGCTGTCAGTTGCTCAGGGTGGTCCTCTTCCTGAGGTGCGGAGAAGGGCGTACCAGGATCACCCCAGGGCTGGCCATGAGCAAAGCTCACCCAGGGTCTGTGTATGTTGGGTCCTCTTGCTGCTCTGCCCATGCCTGGAACTTGACCCCTGACCCCTTGCTATTCCCAGCCTTCTCTGAAACTCCCCTGGTGAGAGCACCTCTCCCCATGCACTTCCTGCTGGTGCCTCTGAGTTATGCTAATTTATGCATGTTTACCTACTCACCTAGGCCAAGAACTCCTTGAGGGTAGGATTTATTTATTTACCCAGCAGTTTAGAGTGTCAGCGTGTGTGTGTGTGTGTGTGTGTGTGTGTGTGTGTGTGTGTGTTTGTGGGGGGGTGGAGGGGGGGGTCCTAACAGATCAGGCCCTCCCCTAACAGCTCTGTGACCTTGGGCACTTTCTTCAAGCCTCCAAGGTGGACCATAGCAACACTTCCCTCCCGGGATGAATGTAAACCAGAGCCCTCAGGTTATCACCCGAAGGCTCCTGTTAACTCCCTGGGGGTGAATGGCCACCTTAGACCCACACTGAGTGTTCCAGCCTGGTGCGGTGTGTGTGTGTGTGTGTGTGTGTGTGTGTGTGTGTGTGTGTGTGTGAGTGGGGGGGGGAGTAAGGGAGTAGGGGGGTGGAGGAAATGATTGGGGCATCTAAAAGACCAGATTCAAGTCCATGGCTATGTCCTGCTTGACCTTGGACAAGCCATTTGGCCTCTCTCTCTGTCCCGTGTGTTCAGTGGGGATCATAGTTGTATAATGGTTTTTGTTTTTGTTTTCATATTTATAACCCTGGGTTAGGCAAAGCCTTCTTTTCTTTCTTTTTTTTTTTTTTTTTTTTTTAATTTTATTGATTTTCCACAAAGAGGAAGGGAGAGGGATAGAGAGCTAGAAATGTCGATGAAAGAGAAATATCAACCAGCTGCCTCCTGCACACCCCCTACCGGGGATGTGCCCGCAACCAATGTATGTGCCCTTGCCCGGAATCGAACCTGGGACCCTTCAGTCCACAGACCGATGCTCTATCCACTGAACCAGACCGGTTTTGGCTGTATAAGGGGTTTGTTCTGGGTTTTAAGAGAAATACTATTTGTAAAATGCCAGGGTGGCAGTTGGCACGTTGTCGACACTCAGTGGTCATTTCATTTCTTCTCCCCGCTTCTTCA